GAGGGAAGGCCTGACCCTCAGATGCCGTGCCGTGCAGTGATGGGGGACATGAGGTCCGAGGCCCCCAGGAGAGTGGAGGTCACAGAGCAGAAAGGGGAGGAAAGTGTGTGTGCTGTTTCAGAAAGGGACGTGTTTGCTGGGAAAGCGACACCACAGACCACAGAAATGAAGTGCTAAGAAAACACTTGGAAATGTGAGAAGACAATTATGTAAATCAGGTGCGTGTGTACAGAATTTGGTGAAAGTTACAAAGCATATTTAACGCCAAGTTAGTGGCATCATTTAAAACAGGTTAGCCTTGAAAGGTCGTAGCCCAGAACATCCCCTGAAGTAAGGGATTTAAAGATTGCTCGAGGGCTGTCTGAACTTAATGTTAAAAGCAATCGACCATGTTTTAGTAAAATCAGATTAGAAACATCCATGCCATGCCACGCCTGCATCCTACTAAGTCCACTGGGCGTGTTGCCTTCAGAGATTAAAAATAAAAAATACGGTTCTTGGTGAAATGAGAAACTTTGTAAATGAAGGAAAAGAAAAAACTTTTAAAAATAAATAACTTCTGAAAGGAAAGCTTCCTCCTGCTATTTAGGATTACTTGATTGGATTTCGCCTTCAGAATTTGTGTTAGAAAAGAAGGACTCGGACAGTCTGTGCCTGAAGGTTCTGCTCTCCCAGCCAGGCTCGTGCCTGCTCGGTCACACAGGACCCACGGTGTGAGTAGAAGACGGAGCAAAATGAAAGACGGGTGACTGGGAAGGGAGGCAGGGAAGGGGACCACGGGACGGAGCGAGGGGAGGAGGGAGGGCAGGGGACGGAAAAAGAAGGAAGCGGGGTCAGGTCCTTGTGCCGGCTCCCCGCCGTGAAAGCAATCCTGTGCTGCAAACAAAAATCTCACACAAGAATTCAATTTAAGAAAAGGCCGAGGCCCGGGAAGTAAGCTTGGTGGCACCACGGCCACCTTGCAAGCGCAAGGTCTTGAGTTTGATCTCCAAACCGGGGAGGGGGCGCCGAAGGCTGAACGAGTAAAACAAAATCTCTTTGTGTCTACCTTCACATGTGTCACTTCAGTTTAAGTGAAATAACGTGCTTCCGGTGACAAGTGGCCTTGCTCTGCAGGCGAGATGGACCTCTTGTAGGTCACGCCCGGAGTGGCAGTTGGGCTGAGTTGAGCACAGCGCGATCCTGGAGGGTCAGCGTCCATCCTGTCAAGTCTTGTGTGTGCCTTAAGTAACACACGTCCCGAGCAGTGACCAGACACTGCGTCCTCCACGCCTTTACCCAAGCACAGGCTGCAGGTCTGCCCAGGGCTAGCACAGCAGCCATGGCACCCTCGCAGCTAGCCGAGCCTGCCCTGATCACGCAAAGTCATGTGTACTGAGCCCCAGGTCCAGGCCCAGCCCGGGGCGTCCTGGTTCCCCAGTGTTGCCTGGTGTGTGTGGGGGGTCCCTGTGGCCCAAGAGCAGTTGCGCCCTTCACGGTTTTGAAGAAAACTCAGTTGCACACCCATCCACGACGGCCCGGGGAGGGAGCTCGAGGCTGCTTCATTCCGGAGCTGACGCCTGTTCAATACTGAAAGGACACTTGCAGTTTTTAAAAGAAAAATGAGCTCCTGATCAGAAAACCATCTTGAATACTGATAAGGGCAGAGAAATTCCTCTGATGAACAGTTGAGCCAGGTGTGGCGGTATGTGCATGTAATCCCAGCAGTATGGGAGGCTGAGACAGGAAGGTTGCAAGTTTGAGCTCAGCCTGGGTGACTTAGTGAAACCCAGGCTCAAAAAAGGGCTGTGGAGGCAGTTCAGGGTGAAGGCCCTGGGTTCAATCTCCAGTGCCACACGCACATAAAATAAATAAATTAAACAATACATAAAAATAAAAGCTGAACTCAATGTGTGAAAAATGGACCGGACTGCCTTTTAAATAGGTTAGGCCTAAGATATTTGGAAATCATTGCTTACTGGAATTGCTACTCTGTGAGTTTGTCATAGACGTGTCAATGTAATTCAGTAGGCTTTTTTGGCTCCCCTTTGGTGCTGAGCACAGCATTTGAATTACATCGAGAAACTACCGAGACTCTTTGGCAAACATGTTTATAAACCCTTATCATGCAAGTGGCAGCTGAAGGAGGATCTTTTACATTACATGGATGCATAATTAGATGTGGTTCAGTTACATTTCGTTGATTTTTATGTATAACCCCGTGACATACTTCAGAGTTTCCACTGTGCAAAACACAGGTGAACCAAAGTGCGGAAGATCAGAGGGCACCCACGGAGGACCACAGAGGACAGCACACAGCGGGACCAGAGGGACGGGGCGGTGCAGAGACACGGGGGAAGCACAAGCACTCTGTGTGCAGACACTCACGTTTCCGAATCACTGATTCCCACCGGCCATGGCAGGGCCTGCGGACACTTCCGCTAGGCGTTCGCGAGGCTCGGTGGCAAACATCTCCTTCTTGTTTCTTCTACGACACACACATTCATTTCCTCTCCTGTTACGGGTTACAGCCATAGGACAGCTTTGGAAAGGGCATCCCAGCAGCCTCCGTGTGAACTGCGGCCAGCGCCTGAGAGTTTACAGGAGCTGGAGAGAGCTGATCTGCAGCTCGCCACCCTCAGGGAATAAAATCGTACCGGCGGGGAAGGCGGCGGAGAAGGCGGCGGGAGCGCCGTCAGGCCCACCGGGTTACAGCAGTTTCTGTTTCGGCTCCAGCCCTGTCGCTTCTCTTCGCTCTACACCGTTTTCAGACTCTGCTTTGACGAAGTCTGTTTGGGTAGCGCACTGGGCCCCGCGTCTCGCCTGGACGTATCGCCTTCCCAAAGGTCAGCCCCGTGTGCTGGGCCTTTCCCGGTCACTGGCTGGGCTCCGCGGGTCAGGTGGCCCGCGGCTGAGTGACACGAACCCTACGTGAGCCAAAGGCCGGAACATCAGAACGATGAGGCAGGACCTAGACTACGGGGCACAGCTGTGTGTTGTTTTAATATTTTGGAGACAAAAATAAAAAGTGTTGCCTGTGATCACAGTGTCTACACAGGGGCAGCTCCCGGGCCAGGCAGGCTGTTCTAGGCGCTGCAACCCGGCCCTGTGGTGGAGATGGCAGAGCCCGTGGCGCCCCCTCCTGGCGAGGACACAGACCATGCCCTGCTGGGCCCCGGCCTCTGCCATGTCTGCACTGCCTGGTTCAGCCCGCCTGGCTCCTCTCTGTCTGCCTGCTCAGGAAGGGAGGTTTGGACCTGAAGGATGCCTGTCCTCTGAGTGCCACCGGGCCCTGACCCGCCCGCGTCTCTTGTCTCAGGAGTTCCCACCCAGGGATGAGGGGAGCCCTGCCTCCTGCTCTCCCTGCGTCTACGAGGGGAAGGTGGCTGGCAACCGAGAGGACCAGGGCTGGAAGTGAGTGTTCTAACCGAAGGCCGTTAGAGACAGCAGGAAGGTACACACGGAGCTCTTACGGCCGTCTCACCTCAGTGAGATCCATCATCTGGGTCCATCTCACCTCAGTCTGGACAAAAGTCTGCAGCCAGCGAAGTGACCGCCAGCATCAGGCGGACATGTGCAGAGTTTGCTGTTCCTTTGTCGGTCAGTCTCACTGGCCTGTGGATCTTTTTCTCTCAAAAGATAAGGTTAAATTTTGATGGCATGAACTCAGGGACTGGAAAACTGGGGTCTAGACACGGGGTTGTGTTTGGGTTTAGGGGTCGGGAGTCATCACGTGTGACCGAGAGCCGGTCCCGCTGCTCACACGGGACCTTCCACGCGTCCCTCTCCCTCTCCGTGAGAGAGTCTTCCCATGGCGGGTTCCAGCTGTCCCTTGGGCTCAGTGACCTCGGCTTGCCTCGAGTTCCAGCTGAGAAGTGGTGAGGGTGAGGCGTGGATGTTTGCACCGCTGCCTGCCTCCCGGGACAGGAGATCCTCACAGCTGGTCCCCACCCACAGGTCTGCTCTATGGGCTGGACGGAGGCTCGGCCCGAGCTGCAGACACCAGGATCTGCTTCTAAGTGGCTCACAGCAATAGTGTCATTTGAAATTCCTTCCCACTGCTCTGAAAATTTGAAACTGGCATTTCTGCCATTACAGAATTGATGTCTTGCATAGCTTTCTAAGAACCCTAGAGGAAGAGGCCATGCTAAATAAATTAAATTCTGGGTGCACTCAAGAGCAGAGATGGGGTGGAGTCTGTCCTGGCTTGGGCGATGGCAGAGGCCCAGACCCTGGGCGGTGACACTTCTGTGGCCTGGCTGCACCTTCCACGTGGCCCTCCTGGAACCACTGCGTATGGCTCCCTGTCAGCTGCTAAGTGAATCGAAGTGGCCTGGCTTTGTGTACGTGCTTTTTCTCCTATTAACGAAGTTACTTTTGTTTGTGTACCAGAAGAGGGAGCCATCTGGAAGTCAGTGAGCTCAAGTGTGTCCCGGGGGGCTGGGAGTCCTATTCCACCCCAGCCCCAGCCCCAGGGCCCAGATGCTTGTGCTGAGCCCCGGATTCCGCTCGGGATGGAAAATGCTTCCGCTCACTGGCACAGAGTCTCAGACTATGACTGCCCACAGGAGACGTGAGCAAGAGGTCAGGCATTCACCACGTGTGGCATTGGTGTAACTGGGGCAGACAAGGGAGTGGAAAGGAATGAGTAATCATGAACGGAGGGTCTGGGAGTGACCCCCAAAACCCCTCGGACAAGGGGCAGCCTCCCCCAGCCAGCACTGCCTGAAGAACTGTAGCAATCAGGCAAGAAACAGTACCTCCGGCACTGTCTGAGTTGGACCCAGGCCCCTCTGAACACTCTCAGATTCCACGCATCTTCCCAGCTGCTGTGCTGGACAGTTTAATCTACCAGCTTTTGGCAAACACCATGAGTGCCTCGGAGTCATTTCCTGGCTAGAGGATGTGGCTCCCGGAGCGTGTGTCTGGTGTCCCTGCAGTATTCGAACTATCACAACGTTACACGCTGCTCAAGGATTCTGAGTGGAGGGAGGGCCGGCAATGATCAGAGGCAGAGTATCAGGTATGCATGATTTTATTTAAAATGTGTCCAAGAAGATTTTCCGCTCGGGATGAACATTTTACCTCTTTCTGCATATCATTACAAACAGTACTTCCTCATTTCGTGGAGTTTCTTAGAAAGTTCTAAGTAACCTGACAGAAGAGAAGAAATGAAACCGTGGGGAGATTAAATAACAGGAGGTTTACACCACAGCCCGGTGCTCGCATCTCAGCCCCGGGCGCACAAGTGACTACTGGGTGAAGAAAGAGACCCGGGCATGCAAATCGCCGATCACTCGGGGTCCTTTGGCAGTTCTGAGCTCCCCGCCACAGCACACAGCGTACAGTGAGTCAGATGAACGAAGCGAACGTGACACTGTCTTCTGCTTGCTTTCGGTGGCTGAGAGAAGGGAGGAAAACAGATGCGCTGTGGGAGGGGCATTGCCTAACGTCTGAGAAGCCGTCCGCAGCTCGGGTGCACTGGGTGTCCACCCGGCGACCACCTCACCCCGTCTCCCCGCGAACGACGCTGGTTTATCCGTGAAGAGCACACACCGCAGTCAGCAGGAGGGGACGCCTCGGAGCCCAGGGTCAGCTGTAGTCCTCGACCACTAGGACCTGCCAAGGTGAAGCTGTTTTCATGAGACAAAGTCCATAGCACGAATGGGACTAAATGTCGTCACAGCAGACCACAGGTCACAGAACGAAGGACGTGTCTTCAGTTACGCTGACAGCAAGCACGGCAACCAGGGGCCAGCACCGCCCCGGGCTCCTGGGGAGAGTGAAGGCGCCATCTGCACAGAAATGGAGCCAGCAAGGGTGATGGTTTCTTGCGGGTACGGAGAGAAGCTAAGGGCAAAGTGACAGGGCGGGCGGAGGGGCAGGCGGGCCGGGAAATGTCACCGTCTCCACCACTGTTCCAACGCGACTCGGAGATGTGTCCGTTCCAGTCGTGGAAACAGCGTCCCGGCAGCGTCGGCTCCTTCTGTAGACTCATCCGTCCATAAATAACTTAAATGTCTCCTTGGTGTTCGCGGTGCGGTTCTGGCTGGAGTAGAAAAGGATGGAGGATATGCAGCGGCGGTGGGGCGATGTCGGGGCGAAGTGTGCGGACGGGCGGCTGCAGAATCCGGCGCGGTAGACTTCAGCCGTCCGAGACGGGCGGGGTGACCCAGCCGTACTTTTCGTGAGTCTTCACCAAACTCTTAAAGGTAGCTTCCGCTTCCTTGCGACTGAAGGACTTTTTTGATTTGCCAGCTTTTCTGCAGATCCGCCCCTGTGTGAGACGGAGAGAGAAACCAGGTCAGCATCGCAGTTCTCGGTCCCACCGTGTCCATGCAAAGGCGAAATTTCAAAGGATACGGAGTGTTGAAATTGTAAAAGGTGACTGCGGTAGAAGACGCATTGCCATTAAACCCCTCAAAATCCTCTCCTCCGTGTCAAATACACGCGTCCCCTCATGCCTGCCCCTTTCAGAAGCAGCTCTGGAAGTCCCCTTTCATGAGTGTCTTTGTGGGATCAAAATTTGGCGAACCCTGCTTCCGAGTGCCATCGTGACGCTGTGTCCTCATCTCCCTTATTCACTAGACTGAGGACTGTGTGACTTCTGCGTGGTCTGCAAAGTGGAAATGATCACGAAAGGTAAATGTTTTGAATTAATTCAGGGCGTGGAGGCAGCCAGGACAGCACAGCTAAAGACCCTCAGGAACGAAGGATCCAGAGCTGCTGCAGGAAGGGGCAGGAATGGAGGGAGGAGGGCCTTCAAAGCGGGGAGGATTTTGAGAGGGGTGAACGGCAGTGCATCTTTTACTAGAGTGATTTTTAAAAAATTTAAGCAGACCATGCTATCTCAACCACCCCGAGTACACAGTGGCAGGGATTTGTCTGACTGTGGGGTGTGTTGCTCAGCAGCAAGGGGGAGCCTTCCCGTGATGATGTGGGGCATCACAGCTGTGGGACAGAACAGACGGAGGAGCCGGGGAGCTCAGCGGGGCCTTGTGTGCAGCTGTCCCGGCCGCGCATGGAGCTGAGCTGAAGCACCCTTAGTCTCCAGGGCAGCACCCCAGCCCAGCGCAATTTCCCCCAGGCGAAATGAAGGCTCCTTTTCCTTAGTGAGGCCAAGAGGACTGCGAGTTCATACTGCTTTTGACATTGCACGACAACAGTTGCAAACAATAGGGAAAACACAGGGCAGAAGACAGAGATCTTCCACTCCAAATTCTGAGCAACGTGCCTTTCTATTTGAGGAGAGAAACGGGACTGGCGCACGGGCCATTGGCAAGTACGTGTCCCAGTCGCTTCCTGCCCCCGACTGAGCCCTGCCTTCCTCGGATGACAGCACTTATCACACACTGTGATTTTGTTCACTTTGCCCAATGCACAGCGACAGCCCCCCGGGACCCACGTACACATCACACTAACTCTAGTTTGTTGAGCATAAAACACTTCGAAGTCGGAAAACAATGATGGAATTCTGACTTTTTAACATTTGTTTCTCTTTCCAAAGGATCCCTGTAACTGTAATTTTAAATTTCTCTTTTTCAAGTTCATATGCACGCATGCACACACACACACACACACACACACACACACACATATCTCCACACATACATTTGAAAATCCAACTTCTGAAATTCAACTTGGGAGCAATCAGTGCACTCTGGTGACACTGGACTCATTTCACGCATTACCGAGCCCTGGATGCAGGGTGGGGACAGGGCACGGCCACACCCCACAGTGACTGAGCTTGTTCTGGCCTGAAAAGATGGAGGGCTCAGGAGGCACTGTCTGCCTTAGGGGCGCAAGGAGGTTGCAGACTGCAGACAGGAGGCCCCTGGTGACATCTGGGGCTTCGGAGGTGGTGCTGGCTCTCACTACGCCACCTCCACTGGTCCTCACACCTCTCAAAGGCTGATCTACAAGCCTGTGGTTTTGGTGTCAGCTGCTCCAAAGGGCGGGAAGACCGGGAGACAGGATGCAGAGCATCTCGACTGCAGGAAACACCACGCCTGGCTCTGGGGTTTAACTCCCACCTTTAATTTCATGCCTCTGGGCTTCATGCCCTTGGCAAGCTTCCGTGGGTGAAAGGGGCGGCCCAGGGTTAGCACAGGTGCCTTCCTCCTCCTGAAGGCTGGGCGGCCCCATGCGGCTCCAGCAGGAGCAGACTCCAGGGTCTTGATTTCTGGACAAAGGCACACCTTCATCAGCTCCCACACTCTTCTCTGTGACACTGAGGATTCAGGGCAGACCTGGGAGTCTGGATGCAAATCACTCAGGCCAGCGCGGGCTCACGGTGGTCTGGGAGGAGCCTGACCATGCCGCATGAATGTACACTTCGGCTGTTCTTTGGGAAAGCCCCCATTGTGGCACCAAACAACAAACAAAGCCCCAGGTGAGACAGAGAGCTCGAGGACCGTGGGGACCCAGGACAGGAGGCACTAGGGCCAGGCCCTTGGGGTGGCCAGCGCCCCCCCAGGGAGCGGCTTCTCCTGGAAGGGTTGGAGGAGGCTGTTCACAGCCTGGGGCAGCCCTCAGGAGGGCAGTTTCCTTACTGCTGATGTTCGCTGCATTTACAGTGACATCCCTGCTCTAAAACTCCTCCTGCTCTTACTTTTTAGGGTTATTTTAAGGTGTAGCTTAGCCGGTAACAAGTCGAAAGATAGCAGCTTGGGGGCTCCAAAGGCTGACTGTGTAGTAGGTGCTTGAGGAGCCCTGGTCAGGCTGCATGAATGGCTGGACCAGTGAATGAGTGAAGGGGTGACCAGCACTGGGTAGGGGGTTCCCGGCCCCGCTGGGACTGCGGCTCTCACAGGCTCCACTGTCTTCAGGGCAAAGTTGGGCAAAACTTTTGTCCAGCATGCAAAGCTGTGTCCTTCGCATGGCATTCTGGTCCTTTCCCCAGAGAAATCCTGCGCGTCCTCAGGTACTAGGCAAATGCACAAATGGGGACCTCGCACACCCTCTCAGGACGACGGAGGGGAGGCAGCATCCGCTCTGGCCTCACCCCGACACTGCTCATCGGAAACGACTTCGTGCTCCTCGCAGCCCCCTCGGCACCAAGGCTCCCAGGGCAGGCGCAGCTCCTCCGCTGTGCTTCCCAGAGTTCCAGCCATCGGCGAGCCTGCTTGGTGACAGATGGCATCTCCTGGAGGAGGCAAACGCTGAAAAAGGAACTCTTTGCTAAAAATGTAGCTGGCATCAGATGATCATTTCAACAGTGGTGCTGGGAGACTCCAGTGATGCACTCTGCTGAGGCAGGTGGGCACGAGGGGTTTGTCGGCGTCACTGTCCGGTGGCCGAGGACAGCCAGATGCTGGCAAAGGCAGGCCCGGCCTCCACGGCAGGCGTGGCTCTCAGGGTGGGCATCGGCCAGGGTAACAACAGCCCCATTTCGCAGCTAGGAGTGGCAGGGACCAGGATCCAGTGCAGGAATCTCAGCTTTGGAGCCTCTCTCGGACCCGAGGCAGGCTGGCTCTCAGGCATGTGCCAGTGGGCAGTGACAGTCGCACGCCGGACTTCCCTTCACAGGGAAAGGCCTCCTGTGCCCGTTACTTGACTACCATTTTTATAAAGCTGCATGTAGCCAGGGCACTGACAGGCACGGAGTCCGTTTGCTATGAGACTTCTGTCCCTGTCCCTGCCCCGGGGCTGACAACCCACCGAGATGGCCACAATCTGTGTTTTCCACTCCCTCCATCACATAACGCAAAACGAAGCAGCTTTTCACAGGCCAAGCTGAGGATGCTGTGCTCCATTTTCAAAGCTAAAATGTGAATTTTGTACAAGACTGCAATTCCTCCTGCGTTTTCTCTGTCAGGGTGCCTCTAGAAGCATCCTCCCCGGCTCCCGCTGCCCTGGTGGGCAGACCGGCCGGGAGCCTCTGCCTCCACACCCCTGGGCTCAGCAGGTCACCCATGGAAATCTCAGGTGAGGACGGCCCTGTGGCCTCCACACTTCGAGAGGTTTACAAGACACCACAGCCCTCCCCCAGCTCAGCAGCCTCCGGGCTCCTCTCCCGGCACCTGGCTGGTCTTCCGTAGGATGCCAGGCTTTCCTTCATCTGGGATCACATCTGGCAAAGGCTGAGAATCATGCTCACTCCCCACGGTCACCCACCCTTCCTTGGCGGCTCCATCTGTACTCTGCTCTAGGGGTTCTGCTCACGGCCCACGGCTGCGCCTTCACCGCAAGCCCATGACACCCGCCTGTCCCCATCTGCCCAGTGGCCTCCATTGAGGGCTGCAAGGACCCTGGGTCCTTCCGACGCTGGGGTCAGGATGGCAGGAGGAGGCACCGTGGTGGGCAGTGGATGGATGCTCCTGGGACCAGGCAGGCCCCGAGCAGCAGGAAGCCCAGGCCAGCAGACGGGTTCCCCGAGAGAGCGCATCCTCGGCTCCCGCTCCCGGCCTTCAGTTCTCCCAGCTCAGGCAAAAGACAACATCTCTGAAGGGAAACACAAAGAATCAGAGGAGACTGAGAACATCAGCAGACAGGTGCACGAGTGGAGGACGTGCCTGGCAGGAGAGGGGCAGCCACGGCATGCAGCAGAGCGAACCTATGCTTCTGTGGGCAGCTGGGCCCTCGGCCCGCGCTTTCACCCCGTGGAGGAGCTTGGTCTGGGGACCACGGCTGCCTTCTTGCTCTGGTGATGCCGCACAACCCTCTCCCCACGGAGCGACAGCCCTGACACAGTGCAGCGCGGGGGCCGAGAACTCCTGCACACTAGAGACCTGGCCAGATTCTGCAGTCTGCGGATGGTTAAGATTCGTGTTCCAGGCAAACTCAAGTGTGAAAATGTTATGTTTGGGCACAAGCTTTAGAACAGGCTGTTTTCACTGTAAAAACAGCAGTAAAAGGGACTCTACATGGACCATTGCCTTCATCTCTTTTCTACTTTATTGGTTTCATAAAAGGTCCAGAGCACTGGGAGACCTGCGGGTCAACTCCGGCCCAGCTGCGAGGCCACGCTTTGGTCTCCAAGTGCCTGATGACAGGTTTCTTGCCCACCTCCTGCCAGCCCCAGCCCCACTGTGGACGCTGTGTCTGTGTGGACATTGCTCCTTTCCCTCATCTGCTTTCTGCCAAGGCCTCTATGCGAGCCCCGGTTTTGAAGGAAGCTGAACCAACTCCCAGCTAACCACTTCTCCATGGTCTTTCCAGTCACCAGGGCTCGGGCCCCTGGGCAGGACCTCGGCCACAGCTGTCCTGGTGGGGGAACTGGGAGGCTTCCAGGGCCACCAGGCCCATGAGGACAGCAGTGAGTCTCCACAGTGGACCCCAGCCTGAGGGACGGGGCTGCGGAGCTCTGCTGAGGATCCTGGTGAGGGAAACCATGGAGGGGCTGAGACGGCACATGTCCAGGCCGGCTTGGTGTGTGTGAAGAAAGGGCCAGGTCCTCCGTGCCCCTCCTGAGGGCTGCGTGCAGCCATGTGTGGGCAGGGTCCATGCTGCTGTCCTGTCCCTCCCCTGTTGGCCCAGCTCCCTCTGTGACCAAGGGCCCGTGGCATGGACTTCAGGGTCGGGAGAGGCTGCCCTGGGGAGGTGCAAGAGGTGGGACTGAGTCCCAGGAGCGGGGGCCACTGGTTCCCAAGGAGAAGTGATGATTCCGCCTCTCTGCATTGGAGGGGCCACCCCTGGCCTCACGGCTGGCTAACATCACTGGTGGCTATGAGTGTCCAGCCAGTGGGGCTCACTCTCCACTCAACCTGCTTTCCTCCTGAGGAAGGAAGTACCCTAACAGGGCAGGACCCAAGCAACACCTTGCAATTAATGGAACTGAGCAGGGTGTGGTGGTGCATGCCTGTAATCCTAGCACTCAGGAGGCTGAAGCAGGAGGATCACTATGAGCTTGAGACCAGCCTGGGCTACAGAGTGAGTTCAAGGCCATCTGAACCTCAAAGTAAGGCCCTGTCTCAAAAAATAAATTCTTAGAACTGAAAGAATCAGGGTGCACACCTATAATCCCAACACTCTGGAAGGCTGAGGCAGGAGGATGGCAAGTTTGAGAGCTCAGCCTGGGCAATTTAGAGAGTATCTATCTCAAAATAAAAAAATAAAAGATGTAGCTCAGTGGTTTAAATGCCAAAGCCAACAACTAAGTAAATAAATAGTTAAACTAGAAAAGCTAAAAAAGAAGACCCAAACCTGTGGTCACAGGCATACACCAGACACTCATGGGGCAGGACCCCCACCAGCAGGTCAGGGCAGTTTGCGGGGTGAGGGCCGTGTCCACTCAGGGATGCCCCAGGGGCCACTTCGCAGGGCCCAGCCTCTCCGTGTTCCCCTAAGGAGCCAGTGTAGCTCAGTGCTCCCA